CGATATCGTTGCGGTAAAGAGAATTGTTTGCCTGATAGTTTGTCCCGATTAGGATTAAGTGAAGAAAATGATGAAGGGAACAAGGATAAGGTTCGAAACAGTGAAAAAGCCCTGGTTTGTTCGCTTTCGCATATGCTCAAAGGGGGTCCTACCAATTGGGAGGATCTTAAGTTGAGTACATTGAGAGATAGAGAAATGACTAGGATAAAGTTATGTGTAATGGGGAAAAAGACTTGGGAGGAGGATTGTAAAGTTTTTAAAAAGGTGAAGGAGGAATTGTCTGTGATAGATGATTGTTTAATGAGGGGTAATCGTGCTGTAATTCCGTTCAAATTAAGGGGTAAAATTTTAAATTTGTTACATGCTGGACATCAAGGTCAAGGGAAGATGAAATCGTGGGCCCGTGAATATGTTTGGTGGCCGGGTATGGGAAAAGATATTGAAAATATCACAAGGACATGTGAACCGTGTAATTCGTGTGCGGCGATGCCCCGAAAGGAGGTGGGTCAGATATGGCCTAGGTCGAGAAAACCGTGGGAACGCTTACATGTTGATTTTTTCGATTTAGACAAAAGGTCGTATTTTTTAGTAGTGGATTCGTATTCGAAATGGATAGAGTACGAGGAGGTACATGGATATACCACGAAAATTGTGGTAAGGAAATTGAGGGCATTAATGGCCAGGTTTGGATTGCCGGATACCATTGTATCTGATGGAGGACCTGCCTTTGTTAGCGAAAATTTCAAGCAGTTTTGTAAAGAGTCTAGGATTCGACACATTTTGACCCCGCCCTATCATCCCAGCTCAAATGGTCAAGCTGAGAGGATGGTAGCAATTGTTAAGAATTGGATAAGAAAGGCCGGCAATCAGGGGAATGGGGTGTATTTGGCCCAGTTGTATTACCTCAATTCTAGGAATAAGGAGGGAGTGACACCTGCTGAATTGTTTTTGGGTCGGAGGACTAGGGTTCCCCTAGATTTTCTAAGGGCCGAGAGTCACGAGAAGGGAGTTTTGGAGGACCGAAAGATTAGGTTTGAAGTTGGAGAAAAAGTATGGACTCGTTTGTTTGACGGGAGGGGCAAGAAATGGGCCAAGGGAATTGTTGGGGTAAACAGAGGTTCAAAGTTGAATTTGATTCAATTAGAAATGGGCGGCACAGTGATGCGCCACAATGATCATATAAGACCGCGGAAGTAAATCTGAGGTACCTCATATGATAATATAAATATGAAAATATATGTATAAATAAAATGAAGGTGCATCCCGAAGGATTAGACTCGTTTCCGAGTAAATATATAATGTGTAAATGAAGGTTTGGGTAACATATTGTATGTGGGAATGGGAAGTTAAAGGATCAAACAGGAGAGGGGCTCATCTTAAAGTGGTAAATATATATATTTATGCAAAGTTAAAGCATGAAGGAGTAAAATGTACGTGAACGGTCGGTAACCTTTTTTGTTTAAGTTTATGTATTATTATATGATGGTATTAGAATTTATTGATAGATGTTATGTAAAAAAGTGAAATTGAATAAGGAGGTTATCTCGGTAATATTACGAGAAATTGAAGTATATGTATGTATATGTAATGTTAAGTTAAACTGGTTTAATGTTCCGGCTGTCGGTAATAAACAAGGAAAAAGATTGAAATTGTGGTAATATATGTATTGTAAATGAATAAAAGTGTAAAAAATAAAAGGAATAGAAAAGTTGTAATTCATTTTGTGAATACATTTTTGTTCATAGCCTTATAGGATAAATCATGGTTGTTGAACATTGGTATTGGTACTGGGAAAATATTTTTTTTAAGTAAAAAAAAGATATAATTAATTAAAAGTTCTTGTTTGAGTTTTTTTTTCCTTTCCCCCCCCCCCCCTTTTCTCTTGTTTATAATTTAATGGTCTGTGTATGTGTGGAATACCGTAAAAGGAAATAGGAAAAGTTTAAAATGTGTTTGTGTTTTGGAACGCAATCATGGATTGATTTTGTTTTTGTGTATGAAGTGATTTTGTGTTTAAAAAAAAAGGAAAATTAAATAACAAAAGTGTTTAGTTAATTTAAATTTTTTTTTGTAAAAGATTTTTTTTTAATTATAAAATTATTTTTTTTTCTCAATTAAATTTCCCGAAATATTAAATTATACTTCTTTTATTAAATTGAAGTTTTTGTTGTTATAAAGTCAATTTTTTTTTTAACAAGAAATCATTACTACCATTTTCTGTAAACTAAAATAAAGAAAAGGTCAACGCATATTCTTGAACCAGTAAATTATATTTTTTTTTATTAAATTGAAGTTTTTGTTGTTATAAAGTTTTTTTTTTAAGTCATTACTACTAATTTCTGAAAATCAAAATAAAGAAAGGGTCCACGTATAGCCTTGAACCAGTTATCCACAAATATTTTATCACCTTCGAGAAATGGAAACAATCTCACGTCTAGTAGACCTTGGAGATTTTTATCTCCAGGTCACATTAATCAAGAAGCACGATGGTATGACCCTGGGAGAAGGACGCCGGAAGGAAAATCAACCACCGACGTATGGGAGTAGACGGAAAAAATGTTATAATTGTCAGGGAGAGGGTCATCTCAGACATCAATGCACGCAACTACCCGGGGATCGTGTACCTATGGGGGTGTTATCGGAAAATCCGCGGGTAGAAACCATATGAAGAAAAAAAAATGATATATAACGAGATGAGTGTGGAGCAGCCGACAACTTCTGTTCTTATGGGACCGGCCATACCTGCGGATAGGACGTCCTCCGAAAAGATCAAGTTATAATGATGGACGTGCCACAATTAGGGAATATCTCGCGGACATCGAGAGGTGGATATGTTGCAGAGAGCTATGGCTACAATAGCTACTGAGGTTCTACCGACGACTAGCGCAGGGGATTTTTGGAGCAGTCCCATGTCGGCTTAGGGTGAGGAATATGCATTTAACATGAAGGTGAGCATGAACATTTTTTTATACATGTGAAAAAATTTTTTTTGTTTATCGACATAAAGATTTTTTTGTTTATCGACATGCCCTGATCCCATAAAGGGGTGGCATGTCGTATTTGTAAATACGTGAACGTTTTATATTTTTTTTTACGCGAAATGCCAATCAACCGATTAAAATAAGGTTCATTGGATAAAGAAATTAGATATAATAATATATGTTGATATTATTTTGTTTGATTATTAATTTTTTTTATAAAAGAATTACATTATTTTTTTTTATGAAATTAATTTCTTTTTATATTAAAATGACGAATTTATTTTATTTTGATTTAATTTAATTATTAATAAAGAGAATCATTGGTGAGTTATATTTTTGTCTGCTTTGTGATTTTTGTAGTTTCGAGAGTTTGTTTGAGTGTTCTAAGATCAAGGTTTAATTTTTTGCCAATTAATGAAGATAAGTAAATATTAATATTTTATAATTATTGTGATTTTTTAAAATAAAAAAATTAACTAAAAATCTTTATCGCATTTTAAAATAATATGAAACGTAATTGTAGCTTATAATCTTTATAATTTAAAATGGTTTAAAAATAAAAAATCAGTGTTTGGAAAATTTTTTTTCTAAGAATCAAGATTTCTTTTTCGTTCAAAATTTTGAGCAAAATCTTTGAAAATTAATACTATTTGTTATTAATAAATCAAACTTTTACGAATTTTAACCCATATATTTTCATCGATTATAGATGATAAATATTATCTATATAATAAATAATAAATATAAAACAAATCATCGATATCCATAAATAAATCAATTTTTACGACTTTTAACTATTAAATCTTAAAAACATCAATTTCTCAGAAGAATGTGTTCATATTAATTTTAAAATATTTTTTCAATAAATTCTTTTTAAATAATATATCATTAGATCGATTAAATACTGAAATAAGATACTAATTCAAACCAAGAATTATTTTTATATTGTCAAATATTATTCTAGAAAAAACAAGGTATATTTATTTAAATTTACTATTCATCACAATCAAAGATAAGTTACGGCCCAAATTTTAAACCCAGATCATAATGTCATTTCTTTTATTTTCGTGGACGATATTAAATTAAAATTTTGGACTTAAAAATCGCTAAGGTTTTCGTCACAAAACAACTCCCCATGTTTAAAGAGTTTAATTCGACTTCTTTGGGAGTTTAAGGTTATAAATTCTGAATCTTATGTGGTCACCCCCCTAGATTGATCCAAAATATTTAATTCAGTAAAGTAAATAAAATAAATAATTTAAAAAAACTATCAATAATATTATTACCTAAAAACTTTTTTATTTAGAAAATAATGGAAGATTTTAAATTTATGCATGAAATGGAAATTGGTAAGAGTTTATACAAAAGTTCGTATATGTCGGATGTTAGATTCAAGGTTATTTAATTACATTTTATATTTTCTACATTCAAACCAAATTAATATATCAGGTGGAAGGAAAAATAATATGCGCCCATAAAAATATTTTGTCTTATAGAAGTGAAATGTTTTATACCATGTTTTTTGGTAGTGTGAAGTTGGAAGATAGCTGCGTGCACATTGAGGATATGACCATGAAAAGTTTCGAAATAATTTTGAAGTAAACTTTGATACGATTATAACTTTTTATATAAAAAAACTTTTTAATTTTCACAAGTTATATATATACAAGGGAAATTGATTTAGTAAATTATGGTGTTGATACACTTATAGAAATCTTGTATGGCGCAAAAAAATACATTCTAAAATCCTTAATCATAATATGTGTTGAGGGAAATGAATAAGGGGCCAGATAAATATGTTGACCACCAGTATAGGCCTTTAAAAGCTATACCTAGCATCATCAATACATCCAGAAATTGTAGGTTCAAGATTTTTACTTGTAAATTGAATATTAATATATTATTTAATAATCATGTGATTTTTAGTTATTTATCCAACCACATGTTTTATCATATATATTGAATTCGAATGATTTCCTAAATGCAACGCCCATAGATTTAATTCAAAGATTTATTGCAGAATTAGAATATGAAAAAAATTGTACCGAGCCAAATAATTTTTCAATTTCTCATAAATGGGCCAAGAATGAATGCGCCAAATGCCAAATTCCTGACAATTCTGCCAATATTATTTCTAAATTGTCGAAGAATAAATTCAAACCTCTTTCCAATTATATTCTAAACTTCAATTTCTTAGACATTATACAATTAGTACGCGACCCCAAATTGTTGGATGCCTCTGAAATATGTGATATATTGATGAAAAAAATATCGTCGTTTGACAGTGATTACAGCGCTATAGTGTATAAACATTTTTACCATTCCACATCGACTCCTAAATTTGAAATAAAAACTTGTTCGCAGGTATATTTAATAGGGATAAATATTTCATCAATTTTTGATGGCTTAGTCACTGTAACAGTAAAATCAATATGTGACCAGATGGTCATTTACAGATATGAAAAAAAAATCTCTAAAGAAATTGAATATCTACCCGTAATTGGCATTTATTTGCCTTACAAATATACCATTAGGTTGAATGACTTGAATTCTTCAGAAATTAAAATTAAATGGGAGTCAAATAATATAGTTGCCACACGTTCGAAAAATTGTATGATTGATTATATATTATATCTTTAAAATGAGTTAAATTCACCCAATTTAATAATGGGATAATAAAAACAAAATTATATTTATGTAGAAAATTTATATTATTTGATTTTGTCATTCATTATATTTCTATGATTTTCATATTAGTTTTAGAATAAATATCACTAAAAGATAATTGTTATATGTATTGATGTAAAATCGCTCCATTTTAAGCCGATTTTAAAAACGGCCAAGTCAATAAACCAGGAAAATATTACCTAAACCTCGAGATTTCGCACAGGCATGCCTGATACTTTTCTGGAAATAATACTGAGTTAGCCGTTCTTAAAAAATCTTCTCAAATGGTTTGCAACACTAGTTGTATGTGACTCGCTAATTTTTTATACCAAATTTTTTTTAAATTAATAAACCCGACTCAGATCCTAAACTTTAAAAGTATTAGTGAATCTCATAATAAAACATATAAATCAATTTTGTGACCAATTTGAGCGAACATTTGGGTATACCTTTTTTTTATTGGTTTTTATCCCTTAATAGCGGATCAAAATCTATAAATATACATATTGGAAATGTAAATGCGATCTTACATATAAAGCAATATCTCATAGGTTCCTTATATTGTTATAAATTATAGAGAAAATAATTTTGGTACCACATTTCCCAGAGATGCCATAAAGTCTATTTACTATTTTTGTGCTATTGCCACTAAATTAATGAAACAATCAAAGTTGAAGCCAGAGATATGTATCGTTTCTCATATTTTAAAATGGAATAAAATGTTGATTTTATAATGATGTAAATTATTAAAATTATTTTGGATAACTCGATTCAAGATATATTTAGTACTTTTTAAGTAATGCGTAACTTTTTTTTGAATAGCGAGTAACGCCTTTTTTTCTTTACAAGGTAACGAGTAAAGGCAAGGCGTTTTATCAAGCATAACGAGTAGCGCCTTTCCTTTGATTCGTATAAAATGTTTACATTTAAGATGTATATTTGGAATAGATGTAAAATAATTTGGTTTTTGTAAATGTAAAATAAATGGTAAATAAAAAAAGTTGTGAGACTAATTTTTGACAATAATTTTGGTCTGGGTTATGACATAAAAAAAATTTCGGACCGGGTTTTTTTGGGCGGACCTCAATGATAATTAGGCCCAATGTAGATCACTAGTGTATCTATTTTTAAACAAGTGTTTATTTTTAATTTTTAAAAAAACCAACTTATATTAATAAGAGCAAAACTATGGCACCACTAAACATCCAGTTTTCGCTAATACTTAGTGCTTAATTAATTTATTTAAATTTTGCTATTAATTTTGTTAACCGCATTATATTAAAAATTTATAAACTAAATAAATGTTAAGATGCACGAATTTGGTGCGAAGTTGGCCAATCGTTTGGAAGCACTAACGATGAAACATATATCATTCTTTAGAGCTTTCTTAGTAGATATTAGAACTTGAATCAGATATCCAAAATTTAATAATATTTATAGATTTTTCCTTATCCAGACTAGTGTCGTTAAAGCTCGATTTGAGCCGATTTTTAAAAACGGCTAACTTAATATTTTGTGCAGAATAATATTACGCAAGCCTGAAGATTTTGCTCATAGATGGCACAAAGGTCAAGACATATATTATCGAAATCTCGATGCTTAGGCAATATTTTTCTGGCTAAAATACTGAGTTAGCCGTTTAACAACACTGATCCAGACAGGGTAACACGTGATAAAAATTGTCACGTTAGATCGATTCAATCCGGATAGGGCACCGGGCATGTATACTATATAATATATTGTGCCTATGTATATGATTCACATCCCATCCAGTTAAAAAATTGCGGTTATTTGCTCAAACTTAGACCTGAAATAAAATCCAATTTAAAAACTAAATCTAAAATAATATAATATATCTACACATTGAACCAAACTGGGATGGTAAGGGTCATCTTCCAATTGTTAAATTATATAATGGTTGTGTAAAATGATTGGGGAAAAAAGGAGAGAGAGAATAATGTTGATTATAAAAAACTTGTTCTGCCGAAATAATCAAACTATTAAAAAAATCAATAGTCTCTAAAGGCTACCTTCATACCTCATATTTTTATTTCAAGAATTATTAAAGCTCTCCTAAAGTAATGTAAATTTTAGTATAATTTAAAGGGGTTGGAAAATCTATTAAAAAAAACCAAAAAAGGGTCTGTCAGCTACTTTCTTAAATAAATTGGGACGCGTAAAACTTTGTTATTCGGCATTTATAATCCAAAAAAAAATTATAATGTTTTTTTAATGAAATGTGTAATACCTTTTTACTTTCTTCAAAAATTTTAGAGAAAAACTGATATAATTTTTATATAAATCCTTGCTTAGTCGTGATTGCCCTCAATTATTAAAAAACATTACCATTGATACACAAAATTATTTTAAGCAAATAAATTTATATTTAAGAAATTTTTGAAATAATTTTATACATATTCCGCTGACTTTTAATGAATAAATTATTAGCTTAATCCGATAAATCTCCAAATGTAATCGTTTATTCTCTTCTACATTATTTTTTGTTTCCTTAAGCGATTATATGCCATTTTTTTAAAAATAATTTACGGCAACGTTTAAGACCGGCGTCCATAAATTTTTTTAACTCGAGACCTTACTTTATTCATTTCCGTTTTAACTCTCTGATTGATGGAGAAAGGGGAGGAGAAATATTAAAAAAAGCATTTTCTACAGTAGCATCTCCTTACAGTGATCACCTACTTATAAATAAATCTAGCTTATAGTGATCACCTGTTTTTTTAAAAAATGTTTTGATAAATAGACCCAAATCGGGCTTTTTAACAACAATACTAATTAATTTCTTGAATATATTTTTGATTCAATGATTATTTTTTTACACAAATAGTTTCATATTAATTTTTATAAAATAGTTTCTGATTAAAAGTTTTTTTTTAAGCAAGGCAATCAAAATTGTTCAACTTTTATTTTCCAAGCAACAACAATATTTTGGATTTTAAATTATCTCTATAGAATATAAATAAGATGATTGCTTTGCTAGGTCCTTAGGTAAATATATCAAAAATTTGGCCAACTACCGGCGTGTAGATCTAATATTATTTATTAATTTTAAAATGACCATTAAAAAATTCGTTTTCAATACAAAAAAACAATTGCAAAACATATAATCTTATATAATAAAAGGCTTGTCACAACTATGACATTATATAGTCAATTATTTTACCTGATAATAGTCAATTATAATTTTGTTAATATATTATGTAATATTCAACTTCTTTATTAATTATTGGATGTTTGTCCTACTTAAAAAGGGAGTGATTCTTAATAATATTTAATTAATATTAACAAATTCGGAAGTATTTTAGTTATGTTAAATTGTAGTTTTAATCTCCATGATATTTAGCGCCATCTATAATATTATATTTTATTTTAAATAGCATTATATTTCTAAGTTGAAATGTAAATATTTTGTCTTAATTGATGTCAAATATATTGTTATTTCTATATATCTATAATTTATCTATCTATCTATCATAGCAATTTTAAGCCAATTTAGATCATATTAGCAAAATGGATTTAATCTCCTATAAATCATGTAAAGCATTTCAGAAGTATTTTGAGGCTATAGGCAGGAAGGAACATTAGTATGAAAAAAATGTTTGCAGATAATCCTACAAGAGCTAAGGAATTAAGATATATAATATATATATTCAATAAAAATCATCATAGCTTAAACATATCAAACACGCATTCATAAACCAAATCGAACCGCCATTTTCAAAAAAAGAATTTCAATACAAAAAACAATTACAAAACATATAATAATATAATAATTACAATAATTGATATTTTTTTAACAGACACCACATCGAGCAAAACCTTCAATCATCATCAGTAAATAATTATATTTTTTAACAGACACCACATCGAGCAAAACCATCAACCATCATCATCATCAGTAAATTTTATTTTATTTTTCAATTTACACATCTTATTTCCAGTTATTTACGGCAAGTTACGAGCTAAGGAAAACATCAAAAAAAGTACACCACATCATCAGTAAATTTTATTTTATACTTTTATTATTATTAAAATTAAAAAATAGTATTGACGTATAATTGTAAATAATATTGACATTGCTTTTAAACATGTATATATCTTTACTTTTAGATGAATTTATCAGTTATTGAGATTGGCTTAAGTGGTATTAGTTTTATATTTAGGTTTGTATTGGTATTAGTTTTGTAACCCAATAAAATATTGAATATTGTTGTCTGTCTTAGAATTTTATTGGTTTATTTATTTGAATGGGTTAATAAAATATATTATCAAGAGGTAATGACGTATAATATAATTTGTGTAAAATAATACATAGCGTTAAAATACTAAATTAAAATAATATAAAATAAAATAAAATAAATAAAATATTATATAAAAACCGAGGTGGGACTACAAGTTCCCAAAAAACATGTGTAGTTATATTTTAAAATTATGATTTGGAGGTTTTGTTTTAAGAAATAAGATTCTTTAGGTTCTGATGTAAGGGCTCTTATCTTATCCCCTATATTTTTTAAAAACTTTAAAGTTCCACTTGGCATATGTCCAAGGGAAGAGATGACAATCGGTGTAAAAATATAATTTGTGAATTTGGAATATTTCATTGTTTTTTTTTTCTCGGCTATATCAACCGGATTAGAATTTAAATTTTTTGGGAAAGAAGATACGCATGTGAAGTCCCAAATTAAGGATTTCCCTAAAGACCAAGGCACGGAAGTTAAACCATCTGGTCTTAAGCCATCATCTAACGATAAATTTGTAGGCTCCAGGATGTTTGGTATTCGGGCCCTGGTAAGAGAACGGCTAATAGCTAAATTAATTGCTGCATGCCTTGCATGCCTGCCTTGACTATATATACAATTTAGACCATGTCTCCCTTTGGAGTCAACTAATGTTTTACATTTGATGCATGTATGTGGTTGAACAATGTTACATCCAAGTCGATGGCCTATGGCAACTCTTAATTGTTCATCTGATAAGAGGTTACCTAGGTTACGACTTGGTAATGCTTCCAACCATTCATAGCCACTAGTACAGTCAGCATTCTGTAATAGTTGAATATACTCCAAAGGGGGGTTTGATGAGATTATTTAAAAATTTTTTTTAATTAAAGGTTCGAAAAGAGATTGGTGTGTTAAGATCGTGGGTAAGACAGCTTCAGGTGGAGCTAAAGATGTCCAGGCTGTCAACTTTTTTGATGATTTTATATGATCTTTTTAAGGATAATATTTTAATGTGACAATTGTCATAATCGTTATTTTATAAGTTTTTTGAATTTTTTTGAAGAAAATAGGTTAAAATAAGTATTAATAACATGTGTAAATATAAATTTAGTGAAGATGTACCAAAGAAAAGTGACAATTGTCATAATCGCTATTTTTAAAGTTTTTTGATTTTTTTTGACGACAATATGTTAAAATAAGTATTAATAACATGTTTAAATAAAAATTTAGTGAAGATGTACCATAGAAAATTGACAATTGTCATAATAGTTATTTTTAAAGTTTTTTGATTTGAAGAAAATATGTTAAAATAAGTATTAAAAACATGTTTAAATAAAAATTTAGTGAAGATGTACCATAGAAAAGTGACAATTGTCATAATCGTTATTTTATACGTTTTTTGAATTTTTTTGAAGAAAATATGTTAAAATAAGTATTAAAAACATGTTAAATAAAAATTTAGTGAAGATGTACCATAGAAAAGAGACAATTGTTATAATCGTTATTTTATACGTTTTTTGAATTTTTTGAAAAAAATAGGTTAAAATAAGTAGTAAAAACATGTTTAAATAAAAATTTAGTGAAGATGTACCATAGAAAAGTGACAATTATCATAATCGTTATTTTATAAGTTTTTGGCATTTTTTTGAAGAAAATTTGTTAAAATAAGTATTAATAACATGTGTAAATATAAATTTAGTGAAGATGTACCATAGAAAAGTGACAATTGTCATAATCGTGATTTTATAAGTTTTTTGAATTTTTTGAAGAAAATATGTTAAAATAAGTATTGATAACATGTTTAAATAAAATTTAGTGAAGATGTACCATAGAAAATTGACATTGTCATAATGGTTATTTTTAAATTTTTTTGAATTTTTTGACAAAAATATCTTAAAATAAGTATTAATAACATGTGTAAATATAAATTTAGTGAAGATGTACTCTAGATAAGCGACAATTGTCATAATCATTATTTTTTTAATTTTTTGATTTTTGTTGACGAAATAATAACATGTTTAAATAAAAATTTAGTGAAGATGTACTATAGAAAAGTGACAATTGTCATAATCGTTATTTTTAAAATTTCTTTGATGTAAATGGGTAAAAATATAGATTGTAAAATTAAAATTGCCTGAGTATATGCCATAGAAACACATATGGTAATAATAGATTCTTCCCCAAAAACAGGAGCAAATTGGCATTTTATTACATTTGTTCATCGGGTCAGAAATTAATATGCACAATTTATATCATAATATCTAATCCTAAGTTAGAAATTATTATTTTTTTTACCAATTTTCATCAGACAATCTTGTTTTAAAATTTGGGTAAACTTTTTTTTCTATTTTAAAATCAATATCGATGCAAGTTAACTATTTTCGTCAAAAAAAATCAAAAAACTTTAAAAATAACGATTATGACAATTGTCGCTTATCTAGAGTACATCTTCACTAAATTTTTATTTAAACATGTTATCAATACTTATTTTAAAATATCTTTGTCAATAAAATTCAAAAAACTTTAAAAATAACGATTATGACAATTGTCACTTTTCTATGGTACATCTTCACTAAATTTATATTTACACATGTTATTAATACTTATTTTAACAAATTTTCGTCAAAAAATTCAAAAAACTTTAAAATTAACCATTATGACAATTGTCACTTTTCATTGGTACATCTTCACTAAATTTATATTTACACATGTTATTAATTCTTATTTTAACATATTTTCGTCAAAAAAATTCGAAAAACTTTAAAAATAACGATTATGACAATTGTCACTTTCTCTATGGTACATCTTCACTAAATTTATATTTACACATGTTATTAATACTTATTTTTAACAAATTTTTGTCAAAAAAATTCAAAAAACTTTAAAATTAACCATTATGACAATTGTCACTTTTCATTGGTACATCTTCACTAAATTTATATTTACACATGTTATTAATTCTTATTTTAACATATTTTCGTCAAAAAAATTCGAAAAACTTTAAAAATAACGATTATGACAATTGTCACTTTTCTATGGTACATCTTCACTAAATTTATATTTGCACATGTTATTAATACTTATTTTAACAAATTTTCGTCAAAAAAATTTAAAAAACTTTAAAATTAACTATTATGACAATTGTCACTTTTCATTGGTACATCTTCACTAAATTTATATTTACACATGTTATTAATTCTTATTTTAACATATTTTCGTCAAAAAAATTCGAAAAACTTTAAAAATAACGATTTTGACAATTGTCACTTTTCTATGGTACATCTTCACTAAATTTATATTTACACATGTTATTAATAATTATTTTAACAAATTTTCGTCAAAAAAATTCAAAAAACTTTAAAATTAACCATTATGACAATTGTCACTTTTCATTGGTACATCTTCACTAAATTTGTATTTACACATGTTATTAATACTTATTTTAACATACTTTCTTCAAAAAATTCCAAAAACTTATAAAAGAACGATTATGACAATTGTCACATTAAAATATTATCCTTAAAAAGATCATATAAAATAACATCAAAAAAGTTTCATAAAATCCACTTCATTTAATAATAAATAGATAATTTAAAAAAATGATAAAAGATTTCACCTAAAAGATTGTTTATTTATCTAATAAAATTTACAATATAATTCCTCAATAAAAGATGTATTTACAAAGAAGATTGTGAAAATCACTAATAAATTATATTTAAAGAATATTACATTTTTACAATATAGCAGCATATTATTTTTTTTATTAAAAAAACATCAAATAAATAAATTTATTTTCATTTCAAAATATAATAATATAAATAAAAAATATTAAATCCTATCATGTTTATTTGTTGATAATAATAAAATATTTACATTAAATATAAATAAAATAAATTATTTTACTAAAATAAATAAATAATAATTAATGCTAAGCATCGATGCAGAATTTTGAATAATTTATTTTAGCCAATTTTTAGGCTTAGCCCATTTTTAGGCTTAGCCAATTTTTAGGCTTAGCCGATTTTTAGGCTTAGCCGATTTTTAGGCTATACCTAATTAGGCTTAGCCGATTTTTCCACCTAAAATCTCGGCTAAGCCGTTTTTAGTCGGCTAAAATTAGCCGATTACGCAACACTACTGATAGCCCATCAAGAATGACGAGGAATCAGATTTTTCCTATCTTATAAGATGTGATTCCGAAATATATATTTATTAGGTGAGGGGCTATTCTAATATTTTCCATTATTTTTTATAAATATGTTTATGAAGTATATATTTAGTAATTTTATTTTATGTCCACAATAATAAATATTTTAAACTAAACTTATTTTTATAAAATTGAGTAATTCTTATATTTTTAAATTTTAATAATAAATCAACATAAGGAGAAAGCTAGAAAGAGACAGGCACTTTGTCGTAGCAAGAAAAGTAACGAACCAAGTCCTAATCCTACAACATCCAAGTATCTTGAAGATACTGGAAATAAACAATTTGCTTCAACATCCAATCATCTTGAAGATACTGAAAATCAAGAACAAGTTGAACATTACTGTGGGCCATTAAATATTCTATGCCCATATTGTAATGCATTAAATTTTATTTCTGAAAAACCATCTGATGGAAAATTTAAAAATTGCTGCCACAAAGGTCGTGTTTTATTGCCTTCTCTACAATATCCAGATTTTTTAAAAGATTTACTTTCAAATTTAGACAATCATTATTATAAAAATTTCTCTCAGAATATCCGCTCATACAACAGCTCCTTGGCCTTTGCCTCGATGGGGGCTAAAAATGATAATTTATTAAATAAAGGCCCATACTGTTTTAGGGTTCATGGTCAAATTTATCATCGAACTTCACATTTATATCCTCCTAATGGCGTTTTCCCAAAATATGCACAATTATATGTTCTTGAAACATCTCAGGCTATTGAAAATCGTGTACTTTTAAAAGAAAATTCAGCCTGTGATATTCATTTATTAAAAAAACTTGATATTTTAATTCGTCAAATAAATCCATATGCTATTAGCTTTAAAACATTGGGTGAGGTTGAGAAGGCCGAAGAAATGAAAGCTAGGTTAGAAAACCGTCCTATATCAAAGGTAAATATGATTTTTCGCCGTGATCGTGCTAATGATAGAAGAAGATTTAATATTCCTACTATTGATGAAGTAGCAATGATTTTTAATAACGATGATGGAGAACCACCTTTTCAACGTGATGTTAAAGTTTATCCACGAAATGATGATTCAAATTTAGTTATCTTAAATATTCTTAGCCCAAATTTAGATCCTATGGTGTATCCTTTACTATTTCCTTATGGTGATCATGGATGGCATACGGATATGAAATTTAATGGGCCATTTAACAAGTGGAACAAGATCAAATATAACTATGTTACAATTTAAAATATCAAGGTTAGCTATTCGTGCTAACATTTTTAATCTTATTCTTTATGCTGGGCGATTATTTCATCAATATGTTGTTGATTCTTACCTCCAAGTCGAAGCTAATAATTTGAATTATATAAAATTAAACCAATCAAAATTACGTGTAGAGGAATATTCAGGGCTTATGGATCATATTTCTAAAGCAAATGATAATACTAATTTACCTGTAGGAAGAGCCGTTATTTTGCCTTCTTCTTTTCAGGGGTCCGAAAGAAACATGCGTGAACGATATCATGATGCTATGGCTATCGTTTCTAAGTTTGGTAAGCCTGATTTATTTATAACTTTTACATGCAATCCCAATTGGAGGGAAATTAAAGAAAATCTTTATAAAGGACAGAACCCTTCGGATAGACCTGATTTATTAGCTAGAGTTTTTCATTTAAAATTATCTGAATTATTACACGATATTATTAAAAAAGATTTCTTTGGCAAATGTTCGGCGTATGTTTATACCATAGAATTTCAAAAGAGAGGATTACCTCATGCTCATCTGCTCATTATATTAAGCGAAAATAATAAAATTGAAACAACCGAGTGTATAGATAATTTTGTTCGAGCTGAAATCCCAGATAAAAATATCGAACCCCGATTATATGATATTGTAACTCGCTTTATGATACATGGACCATGTGGTATTTTGAATCCTCACTCACCATGCATGGAAAATGGTTCGTGTACAAAAAAATTTCCGAAAGATTTTCAAAAAGAATCTCAACACAATGCGAATGGATATCCATTTTATCAACGTAGAGATAAGGGTTTTATTCATGTCGGAGGTAAGCCAGTTGATAATCGATACGTAATCCCTTATAACAAATATCTATTATTAAAATTTAATGCACACATAAATGTTGAAATATGTACATCAATAAAATCCGTCAAATATATTTTTAAGTACGTTTACAAAGGATACGACTGCGCTAATATAGATCTTAAAACTAATTCGCTTCAATCTCATGATGAAATTAGAATGCATATAAATGCCCGATATGTAAGTGCATGTGAAGCCATGTGGAGATTATTAGAAAATCGTATGCATGATCGATCTCACGGTATAAATCGATTAGCAATACACTTGCCATTTCATCAACCGGTATATTTTATAGAAGGACAAGAACGTCAGGCATTAGAGAAATCTGCCAGCAGAAATACTACATTAACTGCCTGGTTTGAATTAAATAAAAATGATGTTAATGCCCGTCAATATTTATATGTCACTATACCATATCATTATACTTTCAGCGCTAATAAGTGGAAACCAAGGCAAAGACAAAACAATATAATTTCAAGGATGTATACTGTTGATCCTAAATCCGGCGAGAGATTTTTCCTACGTTTACTATTACTTCATGTTGTTGGCGCCACAAGTTTTGAATATTTGAGAACTGTAAATGGAGTTTTATATAATACTTTTAAAGAGGTGGCTTTTAAAAGAAATTTATTGGTTGATGACAAGGAATGGGAAGCATTTATGGAAGAAGCGTCAACATTTTTAATGCCCATACAGTTGCGTCAATCTTTTGCCTTTATTTGTATTTTTTGTCAGCCAGAAAATCCAAATAACCTCTGGGAAAAATTTAAAAAATATATGATAGAAGATTTCGCACATACCCATACAGATTCTATTGCAATTAATATGGCCTTATCAGATATAGAAAAAGTATTGCACGACCATGGTTTTCGTTGTAGTAATTTCAATTTGCCTGTTCCTACTTTAATAGCTCAGGATGATTTTTATAATAATGATCTTGAGGCAGCTGAGGCATTGAAACTAATTACTAAATTAAATTTTTTACAAAAATCAGCCTTTGATTTAATCGTTCAATCTATCGAAAATAATGATTTTCCTCAGCGTTGTTTTTATATTGATGGTCCAGGTGGATCGGGAAAAACTTTTTTGTATAATACCCTAATGTGCTACATTAGAGGACGCAACCAAATAGTTTTACCGTTTGCAACAACAGGCATTGCCGCTATTCTTTTAAAAGGGGGTAGAACAATACATAGTGGATTTAAATTACCTATTCCGATTGTTGATAACTCTGTATCTCGCATGAGTCTTCATTCCCCTGATGCTACTGTTATTAAAAGGTCCAAATTAATTATTATCGACGAAGCCACAATGATGACTAAATACGCTTTACGCTGTATCGATAGATTACTTAAAGATATAATGCAAACACAGTTCCCATTCGGTGGTAAAGTTATATTATTGGGCGGCGATTTTAGGCAAACTTTACCTGTCATTCCAAACAGTTCAAAAGCATATATTATTGAATCGTGTCTTAAGTCTTCTGATTTATGGGTTTATTTTAAAGTTATCCACCTGAATGAAAATATGCGGTTATCTTCTGAAGATGTTGAGTATAATTCCTGGCTTTTGAATGTTGGAGAATCTTTATCAAATGTTTCCAATCCTTTACTCCCTCCAGATTTGATTGAAATCCCAAATTCATTATTAGAAAATTCATTAATCAAATCAATATATGGAGACTCCATACAAATATCTGATATTAACCTATTTTCAAAAAAAATTATATTAACCACTAAAAATAACATAGCCCTAAATTTAAATAACGAAATTATTCAAAAACTACCAGGAAATTCTAAGATATATTTTAGCGCTGATTCTATACAAACAGATAATCCTGAGGATTTACTTAATTTCCCCATTGAATTTCTTCATTCTCAAACCCCATCAGGAATGCCTCCTCATATTTTAAATCTTAAAGTTGGGACAATAATAATGCTTCTTCGTAACATGAATCCCAGCAGAGGCTTATGCAATGGGACACGACTTCTTATCAAAAATTTACATGATAATTTCATAGATTCTGAAATATTATCAGGAACGCATAATGGCCATCGCGTTTTTATTCCTCGAATTGATCTTTCCCCGAGCGATTCCCGGTTGCCTTTCATATTAAAAAGACGCCAATTTCCTATAATTCCTGCTTTTGTTATCACTATAAACAAAAGTCAAGGTCAAACATTCGACAATGTCGGCCTCTTTCTTCCTGAACCTGTGTTTTCCCATGGTCAGCTCTATGTCGCTCTAACACGTTGCAGATTTTAAAAAAATATGAAAATAAAAATATTACCTACAAAATACCAGGGCACACTTTTGAATGATAATAGAGTATTTACTCTTAATGTCGTATATCAGGACATATTAAATTCTGTCGCTACAAATTAATAACGATACCACATTGAGCAATACCATCAAAGATCCGATACCATAATCAGTAAATTCTATTTTATACTTTCAATTTACACAATATATTTACAGCAAACTACAATCAACAAAATTTTAAGGCAAGCGCTACAACCATGGAAATTAAAAAAAAGAATCGTATTGAGCAAAATCATCAAAGATCCGATACCATTATCAGTAAATTCTATTTTATACTTTCAATTTACACAATATATTTACAGCAAACTACAATCAACAAAATTTTAGGGCAAGCGCTACAACCATGGATTAAAAAAAAACGAATCATATTGAGCAAAACCATCAAAGATCCGATACCATTATCAGTAAATTCTATTTTATACTTTCAATTTACACAATATATTTACAGCAAACTACAATCAACAAAATTTTAGGGCAAGCGCTACAACCATGGAAATTAAAAAAACGAATCATATTGAGCAAAACCATCAAAGATCCGATACCAATATCAGTAAATTCTATTTTATATTTTCAATTTACACAATATATTTTCAGCAAACTACAATCAACAAAATTTTAGGGCAAGCACTACAACCATGGAAATTAAAAAAAAACCAACCACATCGAGCAAAACCATCGATATTCCAGACGAATGCTTAAAAATCTAACATCCCTCTCATTTTGAAATATCTTTAATCTCATTTTTAGTAAAATTTTTGATATTATAAAATTTACTATATTATATTTTTTATCTGGTTACAAATGCATATGTGTTGGAACCCAATAATCGTGAAGTCTTGAGGTATATACAATTATTATTATATATTTTCTTATAATTCATATCTTTGTCTCTTTTTTTCTATTTCTTCCTTCTTTTTTTCATTTCTTTGCTTTCCTAAAATCCATCTCCTACCTTCACGCGGTGGGGAGTGTACAGAAATGCTGACTAACAGAAGCTCTGGTGGATAATACTGGTATTTGTGGTGTCAAGTTTACATGTAATAAATCTTAATTATTGGATGAAATTTTCTTTTAACTTAGTACCTGGCACCATTAATATCCATAATCCTTTCAAATGAGATAACTCTAATTCCCCGTCATTCTTGACGGGTTATTAACTAAACATAATAAAAGCCTTGTCACAAAAATAGCGACACGCTCTCATGTCACACTTTTCATGTCCCACTTTATAATATATATTCAAAAAATCGCTAATTTTGAAAAGTGCCTGTGGCCCAATCGGGCAAGAACTTCGCTTACAAATCTAGATGGATTATTGGACTTGGGTTCGAATCCCGGCAATTATTCTAATTTATATCATTTTCTTTATCATTTTTTAATTAATCTTATGTTATGATATACTCCTACCAATTTTCTGATTGTCGATCTTCAATCTGATTTCTTAGACACTCCTCTTAATATTAAAGGTAGATAAAGCCCATTCCAGAAACTTGACCCCGAAATTGGATAGTTTTTTATGAAAGTTACTGTTCCACATATTTTGGCTAAATATACCGCCGCTTTTACTTCTGAGAAATTTATGATATCATTTAAAATATTTTGACGATCACCACTTTATAAAACGACTAATTTTTGTATAATATTATATACTGAACAAACTCAAGTAAGATGCTTCCCTGATATTGGAGATCCAATAAATAATCAGCAGTACAGTGTGAGCACTTGTTTTCTTTTTCAAAAGTATCTTTAATATTTTTTCTTCAGGTTAGTAAATTCTAAAATCATGGATTTGATAATATTATATGTTTTCTAAATTAAGCATCTCGTTTTTTATATGAGACGGTGAATAAGATAGCTAAATATTGATGAATAGTTAAAAAATTTAAATTTTTTGTCCAAAATATCATTTAATATATTATTGGTAATTTCTCTCGGACAAATAACCAACTTCTTCAACAGCTACTTTCTTGCATATTTGTATTTGCTCATTACATTTTTTGATGATGCCCATATTGTTTGGATAATTACATAATGTTATATAAATTGGCAGTCAGTAATTTTCTCAAACCATGCTTAATTAAAATTGTTATATTTATCTATATATTTAGATCCAATCAAATTAATAATGGGAAAAATTCTTTTTATTTATATTTCAAATTGAAATTCTAATATTTTACAATGAAAATTTTATATTTTTATATAAAATTATATTTAAATTTTTGCCTAGATTATACAAATTTATTTTCAAATAATTTGTAAATAAAAATTATCATTCGGCTCTAATATAAATTAAGCGTTTTTTTTATAAAGATAAATAAAAATTGCTAATTGCTTTTTACCCCAACCCAAGAGAAATTATTATTTAAAATAAGCAATTATTTAAATAAATATACAAAGATTACTTAAAATGACCATTTATCTAGTTTAGTTTTCTACTAACCTAAAATATTATTTATTACTTAAAGTTTCTTAGACTAAACCCCTAAAAGATTCAGAATGGTCAAGCCTGAATAAGTACCATCTCCGAAAATGAACAAACAGATCCGTTTGAGAACCTGATTACGTCTCAATCGGCCACAGAGAGACCCAGCGGGTCCCAAAAGAGAAGCAAGTGAATCAACTGACTTTCGTAGTAGCAGCGGTAAAAGCCTTCACAAAACGTCTGGACTCGTTTACCCCAGCAGATCAAAGGTAGCCACCTGGCAAATCTGTATCAAGAGCCCGCTCTAACGTAAAATTTTACCGACTTGGAATCCGACTACAGAATTTTAATAGGTAAGGGCAGCACTACATCCACGCCCCATGCCATTTTCCAACTCAGCTCCAATAAAACACACATGGCAGTCACGCCACAAAAAACCCAAAAGCTCTAACCTTTGGAGAGGATTTTTAGACCTTAAAAAACTAAAATGTAAAGCCAATGAAAGGGACAGGCATGAACCCAAACATATAAAAAAGGTCGTTAAGATATTCCAAGTAGGATCCGACATGGAAGTCTTCGAACGCAATGACAGAAAGAATCAGGACCCTCACTCTAGCAATTCATTGGAATTGGCTTACCGCGTGTGCCAACGATATCATTTCAAGAACAATACATGGGTTCGGAGGAAATCAAAATAATCCCAGATGCGCAGCACCTTCTAAAGAAAGGACTCTTTTTTACGTTATTTTACATCAATAATAAATACTAATAAAAATTGATACTACTATATTATTTTGAATCTAAAAAAAATTAAAATATTTTTGGTTTATTGTTGGTAATTGAATTTGGTATGTTAAATCTAATAAAAAAGCAGAATGCGTTATATCATTAAAAAACCAAAACGGGGCCCTAAACATACGCGTTTCTATTAAAATTTGACTTAAGTAGGGTGTTAGTCGACTAAATTTTTATTTAACAACACTAAAGATAGATTCCTGGATAAAAATTCCTAAATTTCATACTTAGCAAACGTGGATTTTTTTTTAAAAATTTATTCTACAAGTCGTCAAAGATAAAAAAAAACCCAATATTTGCAATAATAAATTATGATAATATGGATAAATTAATGTAGTGTAATCTTTTGATACATATAGAAATTATATATTAACTTTAAATCCGTATGAGCTTTATAGCTACCATATTTCTACCATTCGCTCATGCTGAGATTGCTTCTAAAAAGGGATATTAAAAAAGAAGACTTTTAAACCATATCGCCATTCCGTTGGCTTTTTTGCAAAAAATTGTGTATTTTTCTTAAAAGTTTAACTTTAAAGCACTTTTGTAATATATATTTTAATATGACATTTATTTCATATATTTTGATCAGGGAATCTGCAAAATTTACCTGTCTAGAAGTTCAATCCTTAGATCCAGGTCGAGCAGCAAATTTGATAAAATATGGCTGATGGAACAACTCATGCAAAAAATTATTAATAGGACGATAAGGGTCCAACTTTACACATCTCCTTATATTGGTATATACTTCTTATCTATAATTAAATTTCGTATGTTTATCATTTTATTTAAAACCAATTATATCACCCTTTTTATATTTTAGAAATAGGCTCTATCTATCCCATTCAACCCCAATAAAATAACCTACAATTCAGATACTTATTCATTTATAAAGAAAAGCTATAAAATTGTTTAACGCTCGAAGAAAATAAGAAATTTGTGTTCTTTCCCTGAAAAAATAAACAAGATAGTTATAAAAATCATTAAAATAAGATTTTTGACCCGAGATATGGCTAGGGTTTGGAAT